TCTTAGCTGTTCCGGCTGTATTTGAAAGCATTCATGTGTTTGTTTAAACAGTCTCGCATAACACACAAACTCATTCGTCACAGTGCTCGGATACCTGCTTCTGAGCTTTGACGTGGCTCACAAGGAGGCTGGGATGCGGCTGAAGTTGTGGAGGAGGCTGATCGAATCACAAAGGTGCCATGGCTGCACTCTCCCTCGGTACAAGACGTATCCAATTCTAACCCTGGCCACGCATTTTAAGGTGACCTATGATCTTTCATATGGAATCCAGAAAATCTTTTCTTTTTTGTTTTCTCCTTCTCATAATAGTCTTCTCTCCTCTCCCCCACCCGCCACCCCCAGCCACCGCCTTTTCTACTCAGTCATTTGCCTGTCTCCTCTCCTTATACTACTCTAGCCAATGTTCCTTAGTTTTCTAATAAGGAAATATCAGGTTAACCCTTTCCTAGCATTGGTAGAATGTAAATAATGTTTCATTTCATGTCAATGATGTCAATGGAAGATAATTATCTAAACCAACCAACCAACTAACCTCTAAATGAGAGAGAGATAGGGAGGGAGGTAGTGGTGGTTGCCCCCGGTTTGGACCGGTTCGCAAAAACCAGTAGTAAAACCGGTGGGAGGCTCCGCCCACCGCCCCAGATGTCATCATCGGCGATCTGATCTCTGCAGAAGAAAGGCGCGTGCGTGAGCAAAGCAAGTGCGCACGCGCGATCCCGTTGCTAACTGGTAGTAAAGATAAGTAGAACCCACCCCTGGAGGGAGGGAGGGGGTGGATGGATAGATAGATAGATAGATAGATAGATAGATAGATAGATAGATAGACAGACAGACAGACAGACAGACAGACAGACAGACAGACAGACAGACAGACAGACAGATAGAATGAACCGGGGTGAAATTCAGCAGGTTCTGACAGGTTCTGAAGAACCGGTACTGGAAATTTTGAGTAGTTCGGAGAACCGGCAAATGCGACCTCTGGATAGTCCTAGAGTGGGGTGGGAATGGAGATTTTGCAATATCCTTCCCCCAAGAGTGGGGAGGAATGGGGATTTTGCAGTATCCTTCCCCTGCCACTCCCACCAAGCCACTCCCACCAAGCCACACCACACCCACAAAGCCACGCCCACAGAACCGGTAGTAAAAAAAATCAATTTCACCCCTGGATAGTACTGTATTTTAGACTATTATATATGCCTACAGCTCGTGTATTTCTGTGACAAATGGCTTTAGATATATCTATAAACAAACAACAGTATACTGTTATTGATTTTTGTTAAGTGATATATGTATGCACATAAAAGGGCAGAAATCAAGTCTTTTCCATTTTTGAAAATCATATTCTGATACTCTTCTATTTGTAAATAAGAAATAACATAGAATAACATTCTGTGCATAACATAGAAATAATTTAAAGTATGTATTTATTATATACTCCAATACATTTTTAATTGATCACAAAAAAGTGGCTCCACTGGGAATCAAAATGGTAGGCCACAATGCCTATCTTTTTAAGGATGTACAATGCAAGTAACATAGGGATGCGATGGCTCAGTGGCTAAGATGCTGAGCTTGTCGATCAAAAGGTTCAAAGTTCAGCAGTTCAAATCCCTAGTGCCGTGTAACAGGGTGAGCTCCCATTAATTGTCCCAGCTTCTGCTAATCTAGCAGTTCGAAAGCACGTTAAAAAATGCAAGTAGAAAAACAAAAATTGCCATCTTAAAATTGCCAAGTTTCAGAAACACAGGCTTAGAACATTTAACCCAACACTCCATTTCTAATGAAGTTTTTTTTTAAAAAAAAATAATAATTCAGGAGTCCTGAGAACCTAAAAGGTTCTCTCTTCCCTTTTCAATGGATACAATGAATTATCCACAACAACTTCAAACTCATAAATAATCCTGTCCTCATATCCATTTTCTGTATCATAATTACAAATGGACTTCTGTTTTCACATTGCAAATACTACCATGCTCAAGTCAATTGCAGATAAATGGAGTGAATGTGAGGTTGTGGTGGCATCAGCTCTTTGAACAGTTCCAAAGGGAGGGCACCTAGAAGTGGGTTAATCAAAATTGGTTAAAGGCCCAGGAGTAGCAGATACATTTGGGCAATACCTCTATTTTATTTATTTTTATCCTGCTTTTATTATGGTACTTTTTAAGTACAGGTAGTCCTTGTCTTACGACCACAATTGAGCCCAAAATTTCTGTTGCCAAGTAAGACGCTTATTAAGTGAATGTTGATCCCTTTTATGACTTTCCTTGCCACAGTTGTTAAGTGAATCACCGCAGTTGTGAACACGTTTGTTAAGTGAATAAGACTTCCTCATTGACTTTGCTTGTCAGAAGGTTACAAAAAGGTGATCACATGACCCTGGGGACTCTGCAACCGTCATAAATATGAGTCAATTGCCAAGCGTCTTGAGTTCTGATCACGTGACCATGGGGATGCTGGAATGGTCGTAAGTGTGAAAAATAGTCATAAGTCACTTTTCTCAGTGCCGTTGTAACTTTGGTCCATAAATGAATTGCTGTAAGTCGAGGACTGCCTGTAATTCAAGGCAGCAAATATACTTAATACTCCTTCCTCCTCCTATTTTCCCCACAACAAAGTCACCCAGCTGGCTTTCATGCCTAAAGTGGCACTAGAACTCACCATCTCCCACTTTCTAGCCTGGCGCCTTAACCACTAGATCAAATTGGCTGACAGGCTGCAAGACCAACAACAGGCTGTTCCTTTGCCAAGGTGAGGAAAATAAGTTTTTCTACCTTCCTTCTCCAAAGATTGCTGCATTACAAAGTTTCCCTCAGCCCTGCTTTGTATTTGCTTCAGTCCATTTTGACATTCAATTTATTCATGGATAGGTTTGGAAAGGTTTTATGGAAGTGGCCAAACTGGCTGATCAGAAAAGGCCAATTCTTCCTTCCAATGCACACTTCCAGCTAATGATACGGAGTTCATGGCTCCTCATACATATTTGTGTTCATTAGGCAGACTATTTCTACTTGAATAGGTCTTTGCCTTGTTAGTAATGCTTGCCTCAAGACATTCTTGTTTACCTCCACAGCTGTTCTCTTCATTTCTTTTCTCTATTTATTTAAAACATTGATAGAGCCACCCATCTTATAATTGCTGCTGAGCGGCTCCCAAACAAATCGAAGGTCTCTTCATCTTCAGTCCCTCATTCCTTCTTGACCAAAAATATAAATTTGGAGAAGCGACCGCAGGAAGAGAAGTGACAGCAACAAGTGTGCCAGTGAAGTTGTGGCAGGCGTAGGAACAGGTAATGGAGAAAAACAGAGGCCTGAAATCTTTACAATCGTGTAATGTTCTGCTTTATGTTATGTTACGTTAAGCTCTGAGCATTTCTGAGTTGTAAAATATAGCTAGCTGAACATTGAAAATAGAAATAAAATTCAGAAGAGCGTTTTGCAACAAAGCCCCAAGGCAACTTCTCTTTTGAATAGATGCTAAAGGTGAATTTGATTTAGATATATATGTACCTGCACACTTAGCCCAGGCAGAATGGCTTCTTATTTGCACTGCTGGAAAATTCAACCATTGATTCTCTTATCTAAATGCCCACTTTCTCAAAAGCTGGCCGTAAATTTTCTCGCACATTACTGCATATTAAAAAATGTTGCAGGCCTCATTATTCACAGCTATTAGCCTCATGAATCCTCCCCCCTCAAAACATTTTTCTTTCTGAAATATAGTTAATACCCATTAAATTAAATGCAGTCAAATGGGTATGTTAGAATAATGAAATTCACCATTTAAGAGGCTAATAAATCCAACTGCGATTCTGGGAAAGCTTTTGCTATGCAAACCAGGATCTTTGGGTTTGTATCTTCAACCTTTGAAGTCACATGGAGTCCTAGAATTACATTCTTTAGACAACAAGGATTTTCCCAGGACCAAATGAGGTTGATAGGACACAGATTAATATGACAATCCTCCCAACATGGTAGCGCCATAGCTTGGCGGCAGGTAGCCAAAATTTGACAGAATATTGGGTGTAGATCCATGTATGCGCAAATGTTGATATGTGTGTCTTAACCCTCAAACAGGGGCTTCGGATCTCCAGTATTGTGAATGAATTTCTCCCAGTTCTGAACAATAAAACAATAATTTTGTTCCTGCTCCCCCGGGGAGATCATTGTCTCTCCTGCTACGCTGTGAGGAAATAGGCCTGCCACCTGCCCCTATTAGATATGTATGTACATACTGTATGCATTTAGAATTTCCCTAAGGAGATCTACCCATCCTCCGAGGTCAGATAGGATAGGCAAGCTCCTGTGTCCTTCCTCCAAATATTGTCATCTGATGGGAGCTAGAAAGCATGCTTTTTCCAGGGCTATCTCTACCCTATGGAACCCTCTGCCCCTTGAAGCAGAGGCTATACTCCTTCACAGTGCTTCACAGACCTCTCTAAGTGGTTTACAGAGTTAGCCTATTGCCCCCAGCTATCTGGGTCCTCATTTTACCCACCTCGGAAGGATGGAAGGCTGAGTCAACCTTGAGCCAGTAAGACTCAAACTGCTGGCAGTTGGCAGAGTCAGCCTGCAATACTGCATTCTAACCAATGCGCCACCAAAACTCTTATGGTACCATAGCATAGATTGGCCCCAGGTTTTTCACTGTTTCTAATGTTTTATGTTTCAGCTGGTTGTGTTTTGTAGTTTTAAAAATGATTTTATGGGTTTTTAAATCTTTCTTTGGGACAACCCAGGGCTGGCTGAAAGAAGGGCAGTTATATTAATGTTTCAAATGAATAAATATGTAAATCTATATGGGTTGATTTAAAAAAAAAAAGACAACGAATAAGCCCCTTCTGTGGTTGGAAATGATAAATGCTGAAATGGAATCACCAAGTGATTTTTTTCCCCCACTAAAATTTTGAATTATTTCTCAATGATTGCATACTGAAGATATGACTGCATATACCCTGAAGGTAGGAACATAGCCAAGACAAGTCTGACAGGCTTTCTCGGATCTCTTTCCCAGGAAATGGGCTTGGCTTGACTGCACTGTGAGTTAAAACAGATTTGTAGACTAAGCCGCACAAGTATTTCAGAACAACTAGACAATGACAAATGCAGTGCTTGGAGGGCCATTCTTAAGTGGCCAAGATGGGAGATGAGATGCTTGTTTGTGAAAATGGATGAGTGAAGGACCAGGTGTATTCTGCTCCTTTAGTTCGTTCTTATAGAAAGATTCTGCTGCCAGTTTCAGCTGGAGCGTCTCGCTGATCGTTCTTTCAGCACCATGGATTTTATCTCAATGGGCAAGGTAGAGTAATTACAACACAAGTTGCTTTATTTACCTTGAGCATAATGAGAGCTATCTTAACATTAGTTGACAATTGTTGTAAGGTTTGCCAGGCAATTTCAGATTCTATTAATGTTTTTTTTTTAATTTATGCCCTTTGCAATGATGTTATTTTGCTTTATCTTGTATTACATCTCACAAATAAATACCCTGTTGTATTTATTTGCATCTCAACACTGGATTTCTGTTGTTTTCAATAGCTCATTTGGTGTTGCGAATGTAATTTAGTATGAATAAAACATTTTATTCATTAAAATATATCATTTGGATTTTCACATTTGCTTTTTTATCTACTCAGACCTACTGGAATTTAGAAAGCATCTGTTGGTGCTGATGTGTAACATAGCTTTATGATGTAATAAATAAATGCCATAGATTTCTGCTTATTTTTTTAAATTGACCCCTGACAATACAGTAACTTTGGGATTCTAAGAGAATAAGAATCCCAAGGAACATGTAACTAAAGCTTTCTATCCAAAATATATAACCTATTTCTAATTTATGAAACTGTTTCTAAAAGATAAAAAAATATCCTCTCCCCCAAAGCCTGAATTCTCAAACTAGACATAGTAGCATGATTAACAAACTGAACAGAAAAAGAGTGAATGGAGTAGAAGAGAAGAAACCAAGAAACGCATAGACTGAGAGCAAAAAAGGAAAGGAGTGTGTGTGTGTGTATTTGTTTTTGTGTATGTGTGTTTGTATTTGTAGGAAAAATAGAGGAAATGAAAAGAGATTTCCAAGCATGGTATCAACAGGGATCATTTCTATGCAGGCAGTTCTTGCTTAGCAACCGCAGTTGAGACTGGCAACTCTGTTGCCAAGCAACATGGTTGTAAAATGAAATATGTGATCACACTCAACTTACGATGGCAGTTTGTCAGTCCTGGCTATGTTCGCTAAGCGAATCCCCCGTGATCGCTAAACGCAATGTCATAACTGCAACTTGCGATCTCTTGCTGGCTTCCCTATTCACTTTGCTTGTCGGAGGCTGGCTATGGAGGTTGCAGGTGGTGATCCCCTGACTCTGGGACGCTGCAATGGCCAAAAACTTTGAGGATGGGTCAGGTCTCCTTACTCAGCACTATCATAACTTTGAATGGTTCCCAAAACAATGCCCATTCAATTTCAGTACTGCAGGGGGGGAAATGCATGTACTATTGCAATTTCCCCAGGTTAGATTTAATATTTTCTGCTCTTCCACAAAAAGACAATAGGTCTATATTGTTAATAGAAGATAAAACACAATAGGTTTGTTTTATCACCCTGAAGCACTGGCTTTGTCTGCTTCTTGTGAAAAACACTGGGGTCCCCATCTATTAACATACATTAAACTATGAGCATGTTAGAGTCTCAAGCATTAGTCTTTAGTCTCAACCCTTTACGGCATGGGTCGAGGGTATCTGAGGAGCTGTCTCACCCTGATGGGAGTAGTCTGTCTCCAGGCCACCCATCATTTTTGTTTTTAGTTTTTCTATTTAAGTCGCCTAATTTTATCTGGCTTCTATTACCTTTTTTATTTATTTATTTATTTTTTATTATATTGTAAACCATCCAGAGGGACGTGGTGGCTCAGTGGCTAAGACGCTAAGCTTGTTGATCGAAAGGTCGGCAGTTCAACGGTTCAAATCCCTAGCGCCGCATAATGGGGTGAGCTCCCGTTACTTGTCCCAGCCTCTGACAACCTAGCAGTTCGAAAGCATGTAAAAAATGCAAGTAGAAAAAATAGGGGCCACCTTTGGTGGGAAGGTAACGGCATTTCATGCACCTTTGGTGTTTAGTCATGCCAGCCACATGACCACGGAGACGTCTTCGGACAAAGCTAGCTCTTCGGCACTGAAATGGAGATGAGCACCGCCCCCTGGAGTCGGGGATGACTAGCACATATGTGCAAGGGGAACCTTTACCTTTACCTTTAAGCCATCCAGAGTCACTTTAGCATAGTCATGGCATAAAAATTTGATAAATAAGTAAATAAATAAATAATAAATAAATAAATAGTCTTGAAGAGTTCTTATTCAATTCTACATAGGCTGCTGTGATTCTTCTCAAACTTATTCCCATTGTCTTTCTATATCCTGAGTTTCTCTATTTAGTTCCATTATTTATTAACTCCTCCATGCTGGCTTTCATCATCAGGAACCTAGTTCTATAGCTACTTCTCGTGTTCTCAACTGAGGAACAGAGATAATGGATCATTGGCCCCATCAGTGGTCATTTTATGGGAATAGAGACTTGGTGTGAGACTTCCTTTGTTTATTTTAACTGATCATTCCAATTTGTTGGTGCTTTGATTCAACACAAGAACCAAATTCAGAGGTATATCCACCTTATAAAGCCTGATTAACTACACAGACTTAAAGGCCCATGGTGTCCAAGCATAAGACAGATAGATTTAAGTCATTTTTAGACGAAAGGAAGAAAGAAACCGAATGTTTAAAAATAATTAGAGGTTTAAACTTGTGGCAAGTCAAAAGGCCTTGATGATCTCCCTTGAGTTTGTGCCCAGAATCTCAACCTGTATGAAAAAGATATACCAGACAGATAGATTTATGAGATTTTGGTATTTGTGCCAACTCATCCTTCACTAGCCAGCTACCCAAATCACGTATCAAGGTCTAATCTTTTTCTTCCAAGTCATTATACTCATAAGTGTCAAATATTAAGAGCCAACCTTGCAATTCAAACGTGAAGCAGAAAATTCTCAGAGTGAGAATACCAAAGATGTTAACAATGTGGGGTGCACAGTGTGGTTTGCCACCTCTTCTGGGGTAGTACATGAATTGTGTCTTACTAGAATAAAGTGGCAGTCTAGCTCACCTGTTGCTCATATGAATGGGGATATATGTACATGTGCATGCATTCTCCCATCACTTCCGCAGCCCGGTTCCGAAATACTCAAGGCCCAGTAGTGGGCTGCGGCACAGGGTTGGGGACTCCATGACTGCGAAAATATTTCATAGCCATTAAAGTTAATTTTTTGGGGGGGGGGCTTAAATTGAACATGTAATACCAGGTAATACTAAGTCAGAGATGGCTTCAACACCACCATGTCAACTCTGAAGCTGACCTGGATAAAGCCATTTTTTTCCCCTGCCTCATAGTTGCCACGAACTTTGAAAAGGGGAAGGGAGGGAGGAAGGAGATAGATTGGCTACCAGTCAAAACAAAAAGTTTTCTTGTGGGAACCAAGGTCATCCCAACAGATGGCAGAGGAGTGACCAAGCAGCCTCCCAGCTACCTTCATTGGACAATGTGATCGGTGACACCTGGGGTGGGAATATTTGCTCTTTTCATTAGGAGAAAAACCGCAGGAACCTTTAGAGTTGGTTTTCCCTAGCTGTGCTGATATGATGTGTACAATAAACATGTTCTTTGAGAAATCTACCTGTCTCAGAGTTCTGCTTTTGGTGGAACCCTGACACACCATGCACCGTACCATGTGTCTGTCAGTGCAGAGAGACAGGAGGAAGAAGCCACAAATTTAAATCTCAAGGCTATAAAAGTTACTTGCATCTTCTTGCTGGGAGGGGTCAATCAACTCTTCTGTTTGGCTTCATCCTTGTCTACTGAAAAAAAAAAAGGAAACCTCTGTCAATCTTCTGCCAAGTCAAACTGAAAAGCTGACAAAGTATTAAGTGTCAGGAGATCTGTGAGTCATTGCCAAGCCTTGGATTGGTATAGTAGGTTATCCTGAACAATATAAGGGCATATGAATAATATTGATTTTTTTAAAAAAAACAACAAAGCACTGATTTTTGAGGTATCTTTTATTCTTCGTTTTTAAAAAAAAAAATTCCTGGGTTTTTCTTGAAAAAGTAAGTCTTTAAAATTATAGATAGGCTATCATAGAATAGTAAAGCAATAGTTTCTCCAATAAGTTAGTATCATTTCATGCATAACTGATACTGAATAACTGTCTCATTATAATTGCTTTCACACCTTAATGCCTTTCATATTGTATTACTTATCAGTTTAATTTTCATATCACCTCAGCCAGTGCACACCTTTCCAATTATATCAGTGGGATTGTGCTCTTTGTCCTGTGCTGCAAAATGCTACATAATAATTAAAAGCAATCATTTATGGGAAATAATATAGCAAATTATTTCTCAGATAAGGCTTAGCAAGTTTCTATTATTCTCAAGTACGCGGGAATTAAACCCTGCCGTATCATCTTGAAATATGGAATAGTATAACAAGTTTCTCAAAAATCACAGCACCGAAGACCATGCCGTAGAAAGAAGAGACGAAATATAAACAGAACAGCCTGAAGTCCTATTAATCTACTTGGCTTTAGCTCACATTATCTCATAAGTGGTCTGCAGATGCCTCCTGTGGCTGCTGTCAGTAAGGGAGTTACAAAGAATCCCAGTCTGCTTTTTCCTACCTGGAAATTATTATTCAGTAGTAAATTGCTACTGCTGCTTTCTTCGACTTAAAAGAGATAATAAGAGAGCAGCGGTCTCATATACTTCGGTACCATCAGGGAGAATAAAGCATAGCGAAATCTACTTTTCAAAATAAAACTTGAACAAATTACTTTGCCATGGGGTGTAGGCTCAGCATAAAGCAGCATTCGATTTTGCCCCATTTATTCAAATTGCTATTGATGAAGCAGACTAAGGAGAACAACAGTAGACTGGGTTTTTCGGTCTCAAACATAGCCAATTGCACTGCATGGCATTGCCACGCTTTTCTCCCTCCTCCCCTCTTTGCCTGAGCCAAGGAATAAGTAAAAATGTGTGTTTGAGATGCAAAAGGGGCAGGATTTTTAGTTTTGATTTTTTGGAGTCAGTCGATACACATGGATCTGTGTCTGTGGCTGGGTTATGCTACAAGCTGCAGACATACATGGCTGCAACTCCTATTTGTGACAGCTCTTTGTGTCCTAATTCTAGAGTTAAGGAAGGCCTTTACGGAGGCTGATAGCAAAGTTTTTCTTTCTATCTCAAACATTT